GAGTACGTTGTACGTACATGTGTATGATAAGCATACGCTGGGCATACACCTCATATGCAGGGCATACGTGGAAATCATGCAACCCTAATTTTTAGGATTTTGGCTCATATTTAAGCATCATTAAGGCCTCATATCTTCTTCTTACCCAGCCTGCTTCTGTGACATCGACCCCCCCCCCCCCCAAGCAAACCCTAAGAGCAAGAGTGCATTTTGGCGCCTTTAAGAAAGTGTTGAAGTGGTTTTGAAGAAAGAAGAAGGTGGTGAGAAGATCTTGGAGTTGAGAGCATTTTGAATCTAGCATTTCTACCTTGATTTCAACCTCCAGGAGGTATAAAGCTTGCAAATTTACCACTTCATCTTGTAGATCTATATTCTTACTCTTTTAAGTCACTTTTTGGTCCGAAATGGTGATTCTTGGACATGGCTTGTTCTTGACCCATTAAGTCGTCCTTTCAAACCTTAGGAAGGGTTTTGAGTCATAAAAATGAGGTCTTAATGGTTGGCTTTGATCCATGCACTTTCTAGAAGGTCTTAATGTATTATGACCTTGAGTTAAGCACTTAAAGGACATGCAAGGTCATAAAGTTGGAAAATTTATGACTCTTGAGGATGATTTAGCCTTGAATCTGGAAATGGGACGTAAGAACTTGAGGCATTAAGCTCTTAATGGAGTTTGGGAAGTTTGGGCGTATGCCCTGCGTAATCTAAGTACGCAGCGCGTACGAGGTCAAATGTCTCGACTGCGTTCAAGGCTTGAGTACACCTAACATACCTTCAGAATACGCCCCGCGTATGCGTGTTGTGTCGACCCGGCTAACTTGACTCAGTTGGGTTGACCTGGCTGGGTTGACTCAGTTGACTTATGGATTTTGACCAGTTTGACTTTGACTTTGACCAAGTTTGACTTAAGGGAATTTTGGTTATTTTGGGATTGTGATTGAGAATTGGTCATTTGGTTGGATAGGTGACAATTAGAGCTGAGATTCGGAGTCGAGACCTCATCAGCTTTTGTCCTGGCTGTGAGGTGAGTTTTCCTCACTATACTTATGGGTGTAAGGCACCAAGGTCGGTCCACTGGATTAGATATCATGTTATGTGATAGTATGTTATCGTGCTCTAGTGATTTGTTAGATCTGTATCCTGGTATATAGGATGATGTTATGCTTAGTGATCTGTAGATCTGCCTGATTGTCTGTTGATTGATTATATGTCTATCTGTTATAGGTGCACATTTTTTGGTTGGTGGTTGAGGCTTTATTGCTATGTGCATGGGCCAACAGACCGGGGACATTCCAACCTGATGGTTGATTGGTCCTGAGGGTATTCCATCCCGAGGATGACTAGACCCATTGTATATTGGCATTCCAACCCGATGTTTGATAAGGCCTGGGGTATTCCAACCCGATGGTTAACTGGACCCATTGTATATTAGCATTCCACCTAGGGTATTCCATCTCGAGGATGACTGGACCTGAAGGGTGACTAGGTCTGGGGTATTCCAGTCCGATGGTTGATTGGACCCGACATGTTGTTATATATGCTATTTGTTTGTGTATTAGTAATTTGGGGAAAACTCACTAAGCTTTGGCTTACGATTTTTAGTTATTGTTTCAGGTACTTTTGATGATCGCGGGAATGCGAAGGCGTGACCGTACACATCATCTATTTTATGTACTTTTGGATCTATGGGATACTCTAATATGGAACAACACTTTGAAAGCAATGTATTTGTAAACATTCTATGATTTGGGATTGTTTTAAAAAGTTTAAATTTGTTGTGATTTTTATGGATGTAACACTTTATGCCTTTGCATGGCTTGATGGAGCTCAAGACCAAACCCTAATTCCATAACATCCTTTAATGACCTCAAATCATTGCATGGGTGAAATATAACCATCAAGATCCCATTTTTATGTTATAAGATCCTCAAAAACAACAAGAAATGATAGCCTTAAGTTCTAGAGTAGCTCTTACTCATAAAAGCCAAACTCATGGGACAAAAAGCATGCAAATCTATAAGCTAGCCTAGGTCTAACCCAAGGAATCATAAAGATGAGAACTTTATACCTTTTAGGGTTGGCAAATGAGATGAAAGCTCTGGATCTTCAAGCTTGAGCCACACCAAACCACTAGATAGACTCATCCTTCTTCAAAATGCACTAAAACACACAAAAAAGGGTCAAAACAAGCTCACAAGGAATTAAGGCTTCGAGTGGGCTACTTGGGAGAGTGGAGGTTGATGATAAGGAAGGCCTCAAGGGAGTTAAGGTCTTTAAATAGGGTCACAACCCTAAAGTTTAGGATTTTGGATTTAGCACTCCTATGTATTGTGTACATAAGGGTGCACCCCGTGTAGGGCTTTAAATGCCCACGTCCACTTCTCATTCTACACCCCATGTAGAGGACCTCTTATGCACCTCGTAGGACCATTTTTGCAAGAAATTAACACTTTAAGCTATAAATGAAAAGTACCTGGGAAATGGGTGTTATAGTTATTCTTGTTGCATCCATTGTCAGACTGGTAGGATTTGCAAAACCTAAACGATACAAACACTCCAATTATGGTCATATTAGGATTAGTTTAGAGTAAACATTATATTCAAGAAACTAAATTGGCATGATTCGTTGATGTTGATATTATATGTTATGGACTTTTCCTATAATTCATGCTTCATGAAATTGTTGGTCACTTGTTTGTTGATTACTTCCAACTTTTTAGAAGGATCTCCAACTTTCTCGCTTGACTCCTAATGTCGGGATTCCGATAAGCATGCAAAAAAATTAAGATATAACCGGGATACCACATGTGAACTATATCAATCCAATAAGATCATATCTTACCGAATTCAACATCAATTTTATACGAAAACATATAAAACTTACCTGGCAACCCGATTTTGATTTATGTAGGAATTTGATTCTAATCTACGCTTCCTTCAGTATCTCTGACTCAAAAAAAAAATTGCTTAATCAGAACTTTGTCTTACAACATCACCAAAGCAGAAGTTCATATATTATTGAAGTATTACAAATCAATTTCCATAAGAATAGATTGACCCCTAAAGAATTCAGCTAAACATGCCAGATTGAACAAAGAATTGCTAGCCCTAATAAGAATTATCTATCAATACATGTACCTAATTTCTTTTTTCCTGTGAGAGACAGATAGATGATAAGGGAAGGAAAGAGCTTTGTTTCTTCACCGTCTGTGTTCTCAAACGACACAAAGAAACTATTGGTTTTCACTTGAAACGTTGTCTCCGTTTTCAACACCACCACTAGTTTATAGGTTAATCTTTCTTATTGGCCTCGTTTCCACCAACCAAAAACACAACATAAACAGTAATCAAGTCTGAATGAAAATAATTCTGATAATAGAAAGAAATTGAAATAGGGTTCATCCTTTTACCTGGACCGTCTAGGGTTTAAAACTGGAAAGAAGTAAAGTTGAAGGCTTGGTGAACAGGAGAAACTACAACATAATCGATGAAAAGGGAGGAACGACGATTGAATAGAAACAGTTTTGATTATCGATTTGTTGATGTGCTTATCGATTAGGGAAGGATCAGAGATGGTGGTGGAAGATAATTAGAGAAGAATGGCGGTAGCCAGTGAACAGTACCCATATCGGGTAGGCGAAACCATCGCAATCCATCCTTCCCTCTGGTGACGGTGGACATGAGAAAAGAGGTGGTTGGAGTTCGGATTGAAAATTGGTAGTGTTAGAGTCTGAGGATTAGAAGTTGATGATCGAGGTGGTGGATCGGTGGACCGAGGGAGGATAAAAAAAGAAGCATAGACGGTGAACCCATGTGAGGGTGGAAGGGCTGTTGACTTTTTACAGGTACGTGTTTGGAGAAGATGGAGAGTAAATCAGTGGTATTCTTCGAAAGGTTCTAGAAGTATTTCGATGGGTGGAGAACAATGGCGGTGATGAGGGGAGAACATAACACGTGTCGAAGACACGTATCTAGGCATTTCCCTAGAATTTAATGGACCAAATTACCAATATGTAAAAAAAAATAAAAATAAAAATAAAAAATAAAGAAGACCAATAGAATTCAAGAACCATTCGGAACCCATAATTAATCTATATATAATAATAATCCAATGAATTGTGTTTCCATTAGAATGATAAAAATACTAATTGTTGTAGATTCGCTACAAAAAATAATAATAATAATAATAATAATAATAATAATAATAATTAACTTTTGTTCAAAGTTTTCTTCCTGATTTCCCTATAATGCTTTAGGAATTTTGGTTGCAATTGGTCACTTTATCTTAAAAAAAAAGTGAGACATCTTAACGTATTGGTAATGTTTGTTCCAAGGAATGCAAATTCCATTCCAAAAGACAACCTAAATCGTTTAGAAATATGAAAGTACATACGGCAATACTCTTCCATCGCCATCCTCGAAGCCAAACTTCATCTAAATATAAAGACATACAACGATAAACTTAAAAGTTAATAACATATTGAGTAACAAACTTTATCTTGTATATACATTTAGTTTATTACTTTTATAAGTTATTAAATATATATTTAACTAGACATATTTATTAATTATATTATAGTAATTTATACAATTGTTCTAATGTAATATATTATAGGACTCGTAAAATTGAATGTTCCATGTCAACACATTATATATGTTTCTATGATTTGTGGCAACAATTTGTGCCACATTATAACTATTTCTTGATTACATATTATCAAATAAAAAAATACAAGTTAGTTATTATCATAGGTAAAAAAGATAAAATATGTTATTTATTTTTAACAAAGATAAAATATGTTATTTATTTTTAACAAGTTGGTTGTTATCATAGGTAAAAAAAAATATGTTATTTATTTTTAATAAAGATTTTAAAGTTCATTACTAGTATACGTAATTTGTCACATTTGTTTTTATGTATTAGGCTAAAAATAGCAACTTGTTGGTGCCCTTTTCTCATGTTTTTAGTTTCGTTGCCTTTGTCATTTTCCTCACTTTTTTTTACCCTTCTTTAGTCACATTTTTTGTTCAGCTTCTTCAAGCTTCTTCAAGTCTATTTAGCTTCAAATTCATATACCATTTCTCTAAAAGTTGGCACCAAAGTGTGATTGAAAATATGGAGAGATTCCCGCAATTGATCATATTCCTGAGTGTATTTCTTTTGGTTTCGGCATATGCTCATGCCCACGTTAAGTCAATGATCATTTTTGGAGACTCCCTTTTTGATCCCGGTAACAATCGTTATATAAGGAACTGCACTGTTCAAGCCAATTTTCCACCTTATGGTTCAACTTACTTTCATCGTCCCACCGGAAGATTCAGCAATGGTCGAACTGTCGCAGATTTCATAGGTAAGTCTTTTATCAGTCTCTATCAGTTTCCTTTATTCCTTGGGCACGTCGGCATTTCTTTTTTTAAAATGAAAATATCAAATAATATACACAATTTAATTTCAAATTTGGAATAATTTTCATTTATGTAGATTGTAGAGTATCATTTGGATTAGAGTTAGTTTATGTTTGGATTTAATGTTAATTTCTGGTTATACAACATGTGCAGCACAATATATGGGGATCAAGTTCCAAAAACCGTACCAAAAGCTATACGGAAAAAATTTAGGAAGTATAATTGTGAAACATTTTCCGGTTCAGGCCAATGGAATCAACTTCGCTAGTGCTGGAAGTGGAATATTGCCGCAGACAAACAAATATGCAGTAAGATGATCATCCTTTCTAGCTAGTTTACTTTCACTATGGCCAGCGCATTTAAGATCGTAGATAATATTGTTTTCAGTTAACAGTTGACATTATAATCAAGAACTTAAACAAACAAAATGATTCAAATATTATTCTATTGTAATAACGTTTTATAGAAACAAAAACAAAAAAGAGTAGAAGTGATATATGGAATGACTTATGCTTTCTTTTGTAGTGGTATACTCAAGGTTTGTTAAGTTCATGATCTTATATACGATTATGATCGTTTTCTGCTTTGTAAGATCATGATTATAAGATTGAATCCGAATCATAAAATCTACCAAAAGCAGTTTAAAACATAAAAAAATATATATGCCCCAGTTTAGAATAAATATTTTAAAACATGAGAATTACTTCACTGCATAATTTAACAATAATCAATTCAGAAAGGAATTTTGTATGGTTCGTATTCGATTCATTTGGTTAGCTCGAAAAAAAAATTATTCAAAATTTAAAAATACTATAATAATAACGATCTTATGAGAGATTCTACGATCCTAACTCGGATCCTTCCAAAAAATAATCGGTACCAAATCCCAAATTTTGTAATTTTAAAGCACCGAGTATCGTCTCATATGTTTAAATCGATACCGATTCCGGTACGAAATTGAGATTTGATAGTAACTTATCATTCCTACGAATACAATCATACAATCTCACCATTATGATCACGTTTTTAAGAAATTTGGATATACCTTCTCCTTTTAATTCTTTATGTCCATCGATAAAGTAGTCACGAGTTACTATTAATAGCAAAATTGTACTTTGATATTTTCTATTTAAAAACAGGTAGTTGCCGATCAGCAACGTCATAATCCTCATTTACGTGTGTAGAAAAAATCATATTATTTTATTATTTATTGAGAAAATATGACCATTGATTTATTTTTGCTTTATACCACATGTATATTTCAATGTCTCCATGATTATTGTTAAAATATTAATTGAATCACCTATTTTTCCATTTTATTTATATGATAAGTTAATGTCAAATAATAATACGAACTAATCGGATATTCCGATTCTGGCTAAATGGATTTAATTTGTCACCTCTAGTTTCAAGAAATGATTACCAGTGAAAAACACGAAATAAACTAAGATTGAAAATAATTGTTTAGGACAAATAGAGTGTTGATTAGTTTTGTGCTTTAATGCTAGCTAGAAACTTAAAAGAGGTCAGTCGTCATTCATGGAATTCAAAGGTCTAAAAAATGTAGATTACTTTAACAACTATTTTCTTCCATTAATTCATTTGCATCATTTTGATGGGCAGGGGGTTACACCACTAGAAATCCAATTACAACAATTCCAAGAGCTTATTCATTATAAACATTTACATAGAGATCAAATTTCAAAATCCATATTCTTCCTTGAAGCGGGTTCAAATGACATTTTTACTTACTTACAAGCACCCGAAAAGTCAAACCTCTCGCCAATAGCTTTTGTAGATGCCATGTTGAGAGAAGCAGCCAATTTCCTTGACATAATCTACCAGCATGGTGCTCGTAAGATCGCCATTTTCTCAGTTGGTCCTATGGGGTGTATTCCAGGCAGAATCAACCTACCAAATGCTAGTACTAATCGTTGCTATGCTGGGGCAAACAAAATGACGAAATATTATAATTATGGCTTGGAACGTTTGGTATACAGTATACGTAGAAAGTATCGTGGTGCAATTGGTGTTTATGGAGAAGTGTTTAACACTGCACAAAGGTTGCGTGTTAGACCAAAACTACACGGTATACCTATTTTCTAGAATATGATTCGTCTAATTATATTGTTTTTTACTAATTTTTGTTTTCTTATGAAATTTTATTAGGTTTTGCCAATGTAAATTCGGCATGTTGTGGGGCTGGACCCCTAAAAGGACGAGTGCAATGTGGAGAAAAAGGTTACACGATGTGTTCAAATGCTAATGAGTACTTTTATTGGGATTATTTTCATCCAAGCGAACATACTTATGAAATTATCTCCAAAGCCTTATGGTCTGGAGGCAGATATGCAATCCGACCCATAAACTTGAGGACTTTGGCTAACATAACCTTGCCACACTCTTAAACCCATTTTTATTTACATATTTATGGGTTAGATGGATGGCGTTGAGTTGAACAATAATATTTACAGGAATAATGTGGGTTGCCATGTAATATTTAGGTTCCCTTTTGTCGTGAGTGTGTTTTTAAATTATGAACAAATAACTATAAATGCTTAGGCATTTTATGTTTGCGTTATTTAATAATTTTCTTGTATGAATTTTGTTTATATGATATAAAAAATAATAATAACATTCTATTTTCGGAAACATGATTAGTCAGTAATTCAACAATATTAAGAAAATAATATACATATAAACATGTTCATTATGAATAGTTTACAGATTTGATCGAGGACAAAGACAAGATACAAACAACTCTTATCGTCTACCTACGACCTCTCTCGCTCTAATATGAAATTAATTTCAACCGATAATGATGTACATTTATCCTTATAATCGTGTCTTCTTTGATACTAACAATTTACTAATCTAATGATTGTGGCCCACATGGTTATCAAAAACAAAACCTAGCTGACCAGCCACGACAACTGACAACGTTGATTTTCATATTTATACAGATACATAATATCTTTTTGGAACCGGCAATTTTTTATAAAAAAGGCACTCACTAGCAAGGAACTAGTGAGAGCCGAATTACAATCTAAATTACATAGAAGAGATCGGTGAATTTTTCCAGTTCTCCCATACAAAATTCCCTTTCCCATGCCTAAATTTAATCCAAGTATAGACCATGGATCTAACACCTTCAAACACCAATTCCGGAGGGATAAACTTTGAGTTGAAAACTCTATCATTTCTTGCTTTCCACATTCCCCATAAAGTTCCGAAGATGATTGAATTTATTGTTCTCTTCTTTGTTTGGGATTTCCCACACGTGGCTACGAAATTTAAAATCTCCTTGACATTAGACAGTTGAGGGGGTATGATTTCACACCAGTTCCATATCCCGTTCCAAATTGCAATTGCAAAAGGACAAGTGACCAGCATATGATCTGCTGTTTCACTTCCTGAAATACATACACTACAAGTTTCTCCTTGAATCTTAACTCCCCGCCGCATAAGAGCACTCGCTGATGGGATTCGATCTATCCTTGCTCGCCATACAAAGCAGTTCACCTTGTTGGGAATCCATTTACTCCACGTGAAAGCTCCATCCGGAGTCAAGTGACCTGCCCGATCTATCCTTCCTCGTAACCCTGCAACATGAAATTTCCCATCTATAGCAAAATCAGAGTCCCATCTCGACTCCTCTTGGTTTCGGCGAATAATATCTGAATCTGCAATGTTTATTATACTAAGGGAGTTTTTGCATTTGTCAATATTTTTCCATACCCCACCTAGATATTTGGATGACAACTGAGTTGGAGGGAAGGATCCCAAGTTATGAATACCATTTATAACCCTCGCCCATATCGAGTTTTGCTAGTGAAAAAATTTCCATTTCCATTTCGCAAGCAATGCTAAGTTCATTGCCTTTATGGATCCCAGACCTAGACCACCAGCCTCCTTAGGAGCAAGAATTCTGTCCCAAGCCACCCATCGGATTTTGTGTTCATTATTTGTGCCTCCCCAGATGAAATTTCTTCTAATTTTCTCCAATGTCTCGATAACCCCCGATGGGGCGGCAAAGAGTGACAAATAAAATGTGTGGAGGTTCCCAAGAACTGACTTTACAAGAGTCACCCTCCCACCAAAACTCAAGGTCTTTGATTTCCAACAAGAAAGTTTGTTTCTGAAATTTTCAATTATCGGGTTCCAAGAGCTTTTTCTATTCATGTTTTCCCCCACCGGTATCCCAAGGAATGTGAATGGCAAGGTGCTCGGTTCACATCCTAGAGGTAGTGCCCAATTCCCAACCTCCTGCGAATTAACACATATGCCAAAGACTTTGGATTTTCTGAAATTGACACTTAAACCGGAAGATACGTAGAAACATTTGAGTAACCTTGCAAGGTTTTTTATGTTTTGGTGGGACCATTCCCCAAGGAAAAGGGCATCATCTGCGTAGAATAGATGCGATAGTTGAATAATGGAGCTCGGGATAGTTATACCTTGAAATATACCTTTTGCAGTTGCCTCCTTTAATGCAACATTTAAACCTTCCATGACTAATATGAATAGGAAAGGCGATAGAGGGTCTCCTTGCCTAACTCCTTTTTCCAATTGGAATTCTTCAGTTGGATATCCATTCACCAAAACTGAAGCTCTAGCTGACTCTAAGCATCCCTTCATCCAAAACCTCCATTTTATACCGAAGTTCATCTGTCGCATCATAGAATCTAAAAAATTCCAATTCACCGAGTCGAATGCTTTATTGAAATCTGCCTTGAAAAGTAAGATCTTCTTGTTAGCCTTCTTTCCCCATGCACATAACTCATTAACAATAAGTGGTCCTTCTAAAATGTTGCGACCTTCAACGAATGCAGTTTGTACTTCATCGATACATTCCCCAATCACCACTCGAATTCTTGAAGCTAGGAGCTTTGCAATTATTTTATACAAAGATCCAATAAGGCTAATGGGCCTGTAATCACCGAGGGATAGCGGATCCTTGGTCTTGGCCACTAATGTTATAAATGAAGAATTACATCTACGGGAGAGCCTCCCCCACTGCTCAAAATGTTTAACATAAGCCATAATATCATCCTTTAAAAATTCCCAATATTTTTTCAAAAACTTGAAGGTGAAGCCATCTGGTCCTGGAGCCTTATTATTTCCACAATCCCACACAGCCCTCTTCACTTCTTGAATCGAAATAGCACCTTCAAGGAACTCACTGCTAGCCTGGGAGAGTTTTTTGAATTTTTCACTTATAAATTCCGGTCTTTGCTTCCATTTCTCTTTGAATTTTGAAGAGAAGTAAAGCGCGCCCCAAAGTTATTTTCTAAAGTAGATTATTAAAATTAGCAACTGGGCTTTTGATAGTGTACTTAATTACAACATCTATGCTATGGGTACTTACATATGGAGATCAAAGCCAATTGTATAGAGTGGTTACAAAATCCGTAAATGACTATTTCTTTGTAATTCTTTCTTGTTTTGGTAGCTCGTTGCTAAAATTCATTTGTTCGAAGAAAAAAAATATGTGGAGATTGTGAGGTGATTTTTGGATTTTAATAATTAGCGATTATTACAAACGATGAGTTAGTTATTTATTTTAAAGTTCGAATGGTTGATAATTTTATATATTATTAGAAAGAATGTGAGGGGATGTTAGGATTTTAATATCTAGCGTTTATTACGAATGAATAATTAAAATTGCGTAACATGTTACTTATATTTTAAAGTTAGGATGGTTGACAATTTTATATATTGTTAGAAGATTAAAAATCACTTTTTAACAAGCAGTGCAAAGTCAACCACTCCTCTTTAATATCATTATCTATTGGGGTTAATGTATGGATTGACTTTGATTCGTTGGGAGGCATGGGAAAATCAAGGGAGTTTGGAGTAGAATAGTTGGTTTAATTAATCAACTTCATGATAAAATGATAAGTTTGCATTCTAATATTGAAAGACAAGTAGGAGATGGTTTGACATCCTTGTTTTGAAAGAGGTGGGTTGGCAAGCTGCCTCTGATGTTTAGATTTCCAAGAGTTATCTTTTCGGAAAGATATAAGATTAAGTTATTAAAGATAAGTGGAGTGAAGTTAACTTAGAGTGGAAATGGAGACATGTTATTTGAGGGAGGGTTGAGGAAATGCAAATTACTGACTTGACCAACTTTATATGGTCAATTATCCATCGGATCAACAAGATGGTTGGCGGTGGATGCTTGATAATCCCACTATTTTAAGGTGAAGGCTACATGGAAAGGTAAGTATTATTTGTTGGATAATTCATTTGGATATATTACCGACTTGTACAAAGTTGGAAAATAAAGGTTTAGATACCACATCTATTCTTTGTACTTTATGATCCTCAGATAGATTCTGAAGTGGTTAATCATACTTTTTCTGTGCGTGTGAAGGGGTCAATGATCTTTAGTGTTTTATTGGAGTTTGGTGTGGGTTGAATATTAAGTGCATGTTTAAGTTAGGGGTGCTTGGATCGATGGATTGACACGGTGCTCTTATTGTCAACAAAATGAATGACGTTAGATGATATTGTTATAAGTATGCGGTGGGGTGTTGGAAATAATGTCTAATGTCATAACTATTGGTAATATTTCTAATAATAACAATATCCTTCTGGGTTCTTCTTAGGACTCAATTGAGCAATTAAATGATAAAATGAAATTGGGAGAAATTTGTTTATTTATTTTTCATCTTATGACAAATTAATTAGAAGCCAATTTGGAATTAATTAGAAATTAATTAATTGCAGGGACTGAATGTTAATTAACTAAAAGGTTTAATTAATTAGAACTATCTACCTGAGCGATTTCAGTAAAAAAGTATTAGCTTTGGCACCAATTTACTGGATAACTATAAATAAGGAGCTAGAGATCAAACCATATTTGTCTATTCCTTGCTCGCAAAATCTGCGCCCAACCCCCTTTGCCTCCCTCATTGGCGACGCAACACACTCCCATTAGGGTTTGTGTTTGGCGATTTCGTTCCCCCTCCAAGGTGTTGTCTTATTGCTTGGTTTGTGGTTTTAGATATGATTCCATTAGAGGGATTCTGATTTGGATTCTTGCATCCAATCAAAATGGCAAGAACGAGATTGCAAGCAATAAGATCTTTGGCTAACAAAGAGGTATGTAATTCTCATCTTTCTTGTAGTTGCAATAATTGTAAGAACATAAGATCCTTGTAGGTTTTAGTTTGAACATATGACTAGAAATATAATATGCTTCTGCTATCATTGATTATATGTTAATGTGTTCAAAACTTTTCATGGGTAATGTAGAAGTACACGAACAATATCATTTTTGCCTTTAAAAGGATTAGAAGGGATTCATTATGAGAATCGATAAGAGATTATTCATGTAATTTGTTTGTTAACATAAATTGAAAACCTAAAGTCAATTGGGTTTTGTGGTTGCAAAATCCAATTATGATTATACTTTTGTAATTGTTATATTTTCTCTAGAAATTTCTAGTGTGATTTATGTTAATGTATCTCATATCGGTACGATACAGTCCTATGAATGGTTATATATGTTGCAGTCTCTACTCTCTCCAAATGACTCTTGTAAAGAGTAACAAAAGACTTTGCATATATCTTACATAACATCAGAGTTGTTGTCTAGCAACCAAATGGCTTGACACATCCATATTTATCGTCATTGAAAATCTGTTTTTTACGGGAGTGTTAGTGTATCTCATAAAGTGTGAAATGATCCAATAAGTTGAATAGATGATACAAAAAAAAATCATTGATTTGAGTGTGAACCTCGATTATTTTTTAAAAGAAAGATTCAATGTATATTATGGAAAAATAATTATATGTGCTTTAAGATATATGGATCAGGTCTAAAATTTTGTAAATGACAATAAAAATCTTAAATTTGATTAGATGAATTAATGTTTCTATAGATTATAAAACTTGTTTACAAAACAAATAGACTTAATATTGGGCTGATCGAGTTGGGCCTTAGGCCCTGTTTGATATTGGGCTGACCGAGTTGGGTCAGACCTCTTTGGCTGACTCGGTCAGCAAAACGTGTTTGATAAGCAATTTTTATCCCTCTGACTCGGAAAGATGCATCTGACTGGGAAAGGAAATCAAATGCGACTGACTGAGGGAAGGAAGAAAAAATTCCATGCATACCCTTTCCCCTAACGAAGCGCCTCCCTTTCAACTCCTTTCTTCTCTCGCAACACCAACAAGCGACGTCACCAGCAAGCACTAATCAAGCACCGATCGAAGGTTTCTCATCAGGTAATACTTTCGATTTCTCCTTCCTCGTCTCATAATACTTTCGATTTTAGCCATCATCAACCAGCAACATCGATTTCTGCAATAGTTGCTTTTTCAATTTTTGGTGATTTCAATTTTGGCGTCCTCGTTTCGATTTTTGCTAAATGTTGTTGAAAGTTCAACTTTTGCTTTTTCGAATTTTGGCTGTTGAGATGGATAAATGTTTACTAATTTGCTGATAAATGTTTATGGGAAATGTTGTTCAAAGTTTGATTTTTTTTCTGTTTTGAATTTTCAAATTCATGGATATGTTTTTTGCTGATTTTGTTCTTGATGAATTCATATCTTTGCTGATGAAAGATCTTCTAATGAAATTGCAACTTTTTGTTTCATCAATTTTTAAAAATGTTGTTTAGTTGTTGATCTCTAGTTTTCACAATTCTGTATCTAGATTCATTACAGAACTTTAGATTAATCTTGCAGTTTACTCTTTTGTTTAAGATTGTAGTTGAAAATTGAAATGGAACTCTAGTGAAGGATCAAGATTTGACAAGAATTTAAGGTTTTGATAATCCAATTGTCTAGAAGTTAATTGGTGTTAATTTGATACAAGTGTGCATTAATGATTTTGTAATCAGTAAACTGCTTGTTATCAGCTTAAAAAGTTTTGAGTTGCTAATTGGTGTATTGTTGATTTATTTTGTTATTTATGACATTTTCATGAGCAAGGGTATTTTGGGTACAAAAATATTATAGGGTATTTTGGGTACAAAAATGTTATATGTATGTTTTGTTGTAAATGTTGAATCAAATTTGTGCTTATATGTATGTTTTTATAACTTTTCACCAACTTCATCCATCATTGTATAGAGCAGCAGGGTAAAATGGTCATTTTTCATCAGTCATCACATTCAGTCAGATATAAAATCAAACAGCATGGTTTCTTATTCAGTCAGGATTTCTTACCAAGACAGGCCTTTCTCAGTCAGCACTTTCTCAATCAGCAACTATCAAACGACCCGTAACTTGGAGGGTAGAATGGTCTTGTTAATCTTACTTTATAACTTGGAGTGTAGAATGATTAATTGTGATAACATCAATGTGAAAAGAAATTAAATAATTTTCGAAATAAAAGTTTGGTGGCATAATTGCCCAAGAGGTTAGTTTTGGTCCTTTTGGAAATAAAATAATAAGGATACACTGTATCTTTTATTTTTTTTATTAAATTACGCTATCGCCAAACGAATATTGTGACCGAGAACCACGTGAGGAAATCCGGTTCATGAACATCTCTCAATAAAACACGGTCTCGTGTTAGAAATCATTGTAAATTACATATCTTGATGGCATTGTCATATTCTTTTTATTTGGAATTAAAGATTATTTTTATACTAATGTTTAATAAAATTAAATTATTTGAAGTTATGCATCATGATAACAGTCCTCTATGAAAAATCCAGAAAGTTGATTTAAAACGAAAAAAAATGATCACTGTTAGATGAAAAATGGACCAATTTTAAAATCGATAGTTTGGATTTTAATTTTAAAAGAAAATAAAAATACTGGGTTGGTTCCACTTTAAACTAAAAATAAAAGAAAACAGAAAACATACTAAACTTTGGTATCAAAAAATTGTTGTGTATGGATCACTCTTTTATATATGTATTATTTAGTTAAAATTAAAGTAATTAGAGATTTTATTATTGAGAAAACATACTTGAAAGTCAGAAAACCCAAAAATTGAAATTTTGAAACTTTTTGGATTGGTTGATTTAAGCGAAAAACCAAACTGAATCGTTTAACTACATATGCTTCGGTATATATTGCCTTATAATTATTATTTAATATTAATAGAGTTGAAATTTTAGTTACCGAAAAAAACACATTAGATTTTCAAAAAAAAAAAAACAATAAAAAAAAAAGAAAAAAAGACAAAACAAGATGATCAATTTTGTTTTGAATAAAAACGGTTTAAACCACAAGTTACTTCTTCCAACATAATATTTGAGGCAAAGGTATCGATCTTGACTGTTTTTTTTTCTTTTTTGCTTAAAAATGATAGGTATTGGGCGGTTAATAAGATTCAAGATTTTGAAAAATACTTGATTGAGGGATATCCCTTTATTACTCGATTTTCTAGAGCCCTTTATGATAAAATAATTTTTGCACAATTAATGATCGATGGCTTATTATTTTTACACTTCACTCTCTAAACACTCCACACTATACAAGCTATTTTGACTTCTTTAACCTTTTTAAAGGAATGTTTGACCAATTTTTACTGTCTTTTTGACTATACTTCAGAACAATTTTCAAAAAAATTATCCCCGTTTTCCATATTTAATTTTCTATTTTCCAAGATGAAAACACAAAAAACCATAACTAATTAATCTATACATTGTCTATAAGATTGTTTACTTAATCAGTAAACTTAATACGGTAAACTTAATACAAACCGCTGGAAAACAAAACATGTTCGCCAGAAAATAGTTGCCGAAGTCGTTCGTCGGAAAACGGTAAGTTCTCTCTTTCCAACTTCGTATCTTCATTTATATGCTGTTTGCGAGTCTTCCATCTAATGGCGGTGGTGGTAGTAAAATCACCGGTTGTGTTGTTCGCCGGAGGCTGCAACAGAAAAAATCGGCTTGCTGGCAGTAGTGTTCCATCAAGAGAGAGACGGGAACGTGCTAAAAAACCGGATTGTTCCGACAAAAAAAAAAACGATGAAACGCATGATTGCATTTTGGCAAAATTCGGCCTTTTTCTCCTTCCTCGACTTTAGATAGACAAACCGAACTTTCCAAATTGTCTTTGAAGTCTTTTGCCTCAAATTGTATGAGAACATGGTTGCCGGCGGAAAAAGAATTCGTTAAGCTATGTATATAATGATTTAAGTGTTAGGTTTTTTTTTAATATATATACATGGAACAAATGGGTTATTATTGGACTAACTTATGGGCTGAATTTGGACTAAATTTTAGGTTATAATATTCCGAATTTTTTCTGGCTAGAAAATTCTATTAATTCCTAATCATTTATTTTTATTTTTTTTTAAAATAGATTATTAATAATATATATTTTTTTAATAAAATTTAGGTTATTAATCAGCATTTTTAATTTGTTTTTTTTTATTTTTGCAGGAAAAAATGGAGAATATTTCGGAATTTTCAACCGACCAAGTATATCTCTAATCTTATTATTTACTTATGTGTAATTAATTAATGTATTTTATTGATTTTATTAACATGACTTTTTTTTTCTCAATTGTTAGGTCTTTAGATCTCATGGAGATTTAATGACTTGGGTGCAAAATGTCGCACGTTCACAAGGTTATGTTATCGTCACTAAACGATCAAAGGCAATAACTAAGAACTTCATTTCTAAAATAGAACTTGGTTGTGATCGTGGTGGCATAGCCAGAAATAAAGATGCGCAAACAAAAAAAATTAATTGTCCATTCGAATTGGTAGGAAAGTATTTGAAGGCACATGATGGTTGGAAGTTAAGGGTCGTACGTGACGAACACAATCACGAACCATCAATGTACATGGAGGGTCATCCTTTTGCAATGCCTTTGTCGGATAAAGAAGCTCGTTTGGTGCAAAGTTTGATAGAGTTGGATGTGAAACCACGAAATATTTTGCCAACACTAAAAGCGCAAAATCAAAATAATGTGTCTTCATTGAGAACTATATATAATTTTGTCCAGAAGTTGGGGAGATCTCGGCGAGAAGGTAGAACCCCGATACAGAATGTTATGCACATTTTGCAAACTAAAGGGTACAACTTACAGTATCGTGTAAACACCATTACTAACGAGTTAGAAGATCTATTTTTTATTCATTCAACATCATTAAAGATGTGGCAAGCATTTCCCTATGTGGTGTTGATGGATGCTACATATAAAACAAACAAGTATAATCTTCCTTTTCTAGAAATTGTTGGTGTCACTTCTACAAACAAGACGTTTTCCATAGCCTTTGCATTCATGCATAATGAAAAAACGAGCAACTATATATGGGCATTGACTTGTTTGAAATTGACGATTAACGATTCCTTTTGTCCTCGTGTTATCGTCACTGATAGAGACTTGACATTGATGAAAGCATGCGGAGATGTTTTTCCACAAAGTAATCATTTACTTTGTAGGTGGCATATATTCAACGATATAACAAAGCATTGCAGACAACGAATCAAACCACAAAAGACTTGGAATTCTTTTCATCTAAAGTGGACGAAATTAGTCGAATCTCCAACACTAAATGCATACATGCAAAATTATGCAGACCTTCAAACATTATTGTTCGAACATGCAGGTATTATTCTTATATTTGTTGAAGTCTTAATTTGATTAACAATTATTATTATATCATTCAAACTAATTTGTTTTTTCTTCTTCACATTTTAGATGTTTTTGATTATCTTTATACTGTTTGGTTGGGGAAGTATGCTGAAAGATTTGTATCGTTGTGGACTGACAAACATGTCAATTTTGGAAATTCAACAACAAACAGAGTCGAGAGCCAACACGTCAAGCTGAAAAAACACTTGGAATCTGCGAAATGTGATTTGGACAAATTCATACATGTTATTGAAAAAGTTGTACAATCACAAGAAACCGCTATCAAAGAAACTTTCACACGTTGCATAATCACTTATATGCCAAGGTTTAAGGATCGGATATTTGAAGTACTACGAAAACGTGTTTCAATGCATGCTATGGATAAAATCTTGGAAGAGCTTCATCGTTCAAAAAGATTTGTACCAACTCCTGAGAATTGTGGATGTCAATTGCGGACATGTTTTGGATTACCATGTGCTCACGAACTTGTGATGTATGTCGGTACAGGTATGTTTAATCTATTGGATTAAATTGACATTTTTATAATTATAAACACTTTATGATATTTTGTCTGTTTGACTATAGGTTCACCTATTCCATTAGATTCGATTGATGATTTTTGGAGAAAGCTTGATTTGACGCCTTCTATATCTGTGGGATATGGTGATCTTAATGTTGATCATCGTATGCAAAGGTTTAAAGAAATATACAACAATCAACCAGATCATATCAAATACAACTATTTAAGGAGAATGGAGGAGATAACAGATCCATCAACAAATTTGATCAATGAACCTTCGGTTAAGAAAAATAACCGTGGACGCCCAAAAATAAAGCGTGTCCAACATCAAAGTCAAGCACCTCACAGATACAGTTGTTCAGACTTAAACCAGAAGCCACCATGGTATAGTTCATCCTTCATGGACTTGAACGATGATCCGGCCAGACATAGTTCATTCGTCATGGGTTCGTACGAGGAACCAATAGGCCAATGTTCATACAACATAAACTTAAACGAGGAACCAATATGTCAATGTTCATACAACATAGACTTAAACGAGGAACCAATAGGGCAGTGTTCATACCAGACAGACATGAACGAGGATCCGATAGGCCAATGTTCATACAAGATTAACTTAAACGAGGAACCACCATTGGGACATAATTCATTGTTGGATGAAATTCCATCTATATTTCATCCATACATCACACATATACAAAATGTATTGGGTGATGGAAATTGTGGTTTTCGATCAGTAGTCGTTTGTCTTGGATATGGTGAAGATCAGTGGCTTTACATTCGTCAACAATTGTTAGACGAGTTATTGAGTTCATATGACGACTATACAAGAGTTTTCGTTGGATGCGATGAAGTAGTTACTTCATTGTCTTTCTTTACGAAGAATGAGTCAGCAGCAACAAAACATTGGATGCTTATGCCTGAGACAGACATCTTGATAGCCAACAGGTTTGGTGTGATCGTTCAGTTTTTGACCACTGAAGGCCCCGTAACTTTTTTTCCTCTTTGGAGAGGTCCTAGAGAGTTTCAAAATCATCGGGTCCTTACATTTGCACTTGTGTACACCAATCATTATGTGATGGTACAATTGGAAGGAGAGTACCCAATGCCTCCCATTGCGGCATTGTAGATCCGCAACAAAGCCCCGTCAGCAACCGAATGGCAAACTATGTATAAGTCACGGCTAGAATTTTATAAGCATCTGAAACCTAGTAAAAGATCTTTTATGACTATAAATGATTAGTTGTTGCTTATTTTTGTATCAAATTTTTGCTATGTAATATTTGAAATTTAAAAGAAAAAAAATATTGGTGAGGATTTGTTTAGAATATTTTTTTTTTTGAAATTTATATCGTTAGTATCTTATTTATCTTATAAATCGTATGAATAAATGGTCCAATTTTTTTTAAAAAATAGTTGTATTAACATATGTAAATCACAATAATAAGTTAAAGACTAAAACATGTTACTGTAAAAAAATACGACGTACATAAAAAAAGAAAAGTCATATTTGTTACTATTTATTTATAAACTATTATTTAAATAATAATAAGATTAATAGAAATCGTTAATTGTAAGAAATAATTAATAATTGAAAAATAAAGTTAATAAAATTAATTGGTCTGTGATTAGAACCATATCTCATTTACGTCAAAGTACGAACACATATTGCTTCGATTCCAATTTCAAACTATATATATATATATATATATATATATATATATATATATATATATATATATATATATATATATATATATATATATATATATATATATGGTCGATAATTCAATAACTTGATCAAGTTACCATGAATTTTAAAAGTTTGTGCCAATAATTAAAAAATAAATAAAGTTAATAAAATGATTATATAATAATAAGATAATAAATAGTAAAAGTTAGTAAAATATTATGTAACATAATAACCTATATAGATTAAAGTGTATTAGACTAGATTAAAGTGGAGTGTCCACATCAACACCCATTGCCGATTCATGTTTGGTCGAATTGTTTGTGTCGTCAACCGAGGAGAAGGGTTGAGTTTGAGCAACGGATCAACTTACAATAGGTGTTGCGGGTTGTGGTGGTGTATGTTTATTGTAATAGATGGGCATGGGACTTTGATGGTACATGTAATTACACGGTTTCTTCTGCAAAGCGATTGACTAAAAAAAGACTTTAGTCTTGGGGTACATTCCAACTGAATTGAACTTGGTTCCTATCGAGTTAAAGGTGTTGCCTTGGAATGCTCTTAAACAACTTTCCCACTAGAACAAATTTTGACAAATGAGGAATTGAGGTGGAATATTTGCTATGTTTTATTTGTGATTCCCATTTCTAAGAGTTTTGATCATCTTGTTTTCTCTTTTTCTCGTTGTAACTTTTTTTGGAGTCAAATATGTTGGTAGTGGGCTATTGATATCTCTATTGTCTCTACTTTTTTCGGATTTCATAAATTGGAAAAAACAACTCACGCTTAAGGTGGCCCACAAAAGTACTTTGATGTGGTTAGAGGTGGCAATGGGTCGACCTGTGTTGGGTTCGGTTCAACCCATTTATTAATTGGGTTGAATATTTCAACCCAATCCAACCTGTTTATTTAAATGGGTTGATATTTCCAACCCAACCCAACCTTTCAGATAAATGGGTTGTCACCGGGTTGACCCGTTTATGTAATTCTCAAACCAACCGATTAAATAAATTGGTTAAATTTGGGTTGACCCATTTAAAATAGAAAGAATAAATAAATTAACTAAAGATTACACCACTTAAATTAGTTATAGACTTAAATAAAATTTCAATGTATGACAAAAGCACAATCACAATTCACATATACAAAGAAATTATTCAAATAACATTAAAGATATGTAATTTCTAAGA